ATTGTTTGACATAGTTTAGTTTCTTACTAGATTTAGTATCTTACTGAATATTGTTTCTTACTAGATCTAGTTTTTTACTTGGGGGATTTCTCTTTTGAATCTTTTCAGGTTATGTTGATTATAATTATCATTGGTTACTTCTTGTATCGTGGGGATTTTCTAGATACTTCTTTATTTCATGCAGTATTAATGATAGTTACTAGGGTAATGGGTTATTCCCTAAATTATTCACTAAACTTATTATTATATAATTACACTTAACTTTAGTCATTACTTTTTAAGGGCTCGTATAATCCCTGCACTCGTAATCAGAACCGAGTAAATATAAAAAATTATTATAAAGGTTATGTGATAACAAAAAGATTTTAATTTTAATTTTATTATTGGTTAACTAACACTTAACCAACACTTTCTTCAAACAACCACCCCTTTTCTATTTCTCTTACTGCACACGATTTATTCTATTAATTTCAATGTAATTTATTAAATATTAATAATTATATTTAATATTATATATTTTTTTAAATTATAATAAAATAATAATTATATATATATATAATAAAAATATAGTAATATATAAATTATATATATATTTCGTTATATATATATAAAACAACATGTATGAAACCATAATTAATCCTCATTCGTAACAGTATTCCAAACCACAAAATCTCGATTAAACCATGAAACCCAATATAATACGAAGTTATACTCTGTCGATCTTAAATCCATCTCTCTTTCATTTCCCCCTTTCATTCTGTTCAAAACAACACACAGACACAAAACAAACACCAATGAAACACCACACACCATTTGGTGAATATAAAAGAGAGAATGAAACGGTGGCGTTGAAACGCTCATAACAGGTGGACCGATCGGTCTCGACGAAATGCATCTTCAAGGTGGGCGGTCCCACACTCCTTAAATCAGCCCGCAGCCACCATAACATTAAGCCTACCTCTCACACAGCACGTCTCACACAGGTACGTCCTACCGTTTATTTGTTTGCTTAGAGCGAGTAATTAGAATCCGATACAAATGGTTATTATTTATCGATGGGTAGCATGAATGTGGAAGAAGACTACAGACGAGACTTTTAAAGGGGGTAAGGGAAGAGGAGGGGTTAGATGGGGGTTAAGAAAGAAGAAATTAGGGGGGAAGTTAAGGGAATGGGGAAAGGGGTTGAGAAAGTGAATAAGAGAGAAAGAGAGAGAGATACGTTCTTCTGATTGCCTGCCGTTATTAAACCCGTTCGATTCTACAAGATAAATACATGGACAACGAATCCAAGGCGTATACTGAACCAGTCGATATATTATAACGCTTCGATAGCTGCTGGCTAATTTTTATTTTACTTATCATTTATATATGTGTGTGTGTGTGAGAGAAAGAGAGTCACAAACGCGTCTTGCAACAACGTGCCAACGGGCCTCCTTCGAAATCATAATCATCCTCCTATTAGCAAAGTCATTAAAGAACTTTCGATGGTAAGATTGTATTTTGTTAATAAATAATTAAAAAAAAAAATATATATATATATATATATATATATATATATATATATATATATGTGGGTTAAGGATTTAAAGGGGAATAGTTGATTATTATGGGAAAGATGAATTATTTTATTTTTAATTTTGTTAAATGTAGAAGTGATTTAGATGAAATATCATTGAAAGTACACCTGCTTATTATTGTTAAACAAAAACAACAACAACAACAACAAAATGTATTCTTTCACATGAATAAAATAATTACAAAAAAATATATTATAAAATATGATAAAAACAATCGAATCCTAATCTCATGAACCTACCAATATACAAAATAAATTCTAACCATCTAAACCAACCTACTCTCCTCTAATAAATAACATTTACCAATACCATTTGAAAACCTTGTGTCGCATATTTAAAAAACCAATACTCTAAAGATTAAGAATAAAGAAAAGAAAAACGTTACACCTGTCGTATTATCAAGAGACCAGTTTGGAATAAAAGAATTGATCAAGAAGAGAAAAAAAAAGATCTCCACAAAAAACAATACCGCTGACAAAGATAGAGATAGTAAAAAAAGGTAGACAATGAGTCGTCGCGTCACAAAATGATGCACCCGTCGTCGTCCTGCATTACCGAAGAACACACGAATCAAACAGTCGAATCCATCCCAATGCCAGACGCGTCCGTTAATAAAGTATAATAGGCACACACGGTGCTCCTCTGTACGAAAGTTGAAAGAGAAATAAGGGGTAATGGGGGGAGGGATAAGGATGAGAGAGGGTGAGATGAGGAGGAGGAACGGGGGGGGAGGGGAAAACGTGGGTTAGGGAATTGTACACCTGACCCACCGAATACAATAGCCATGTACTATGTTTCAAGCACGGATCACGTATGTAAGTATATATATATATATATACTTATTTACGTAGTCCACGTGTGTGTGAACGGTTAAAAGTCGAATACGGGCTCGTAAACTATCGAAGAAAAACGAAGGTGAACTTTTCTTTTACCCTCCCTCTCTCTCTCTCTCTCTCTCTCTCTCTTTCATTTTATCTTTCTATCTTTTCTTTTTCAACGCATTGTGACTTCTGACACCGATTTTGTAAACTATTATAAAAGGTGCTTTGTAAGATGGTTGGTAACAACGTGCCACAAATAGCTAATCGATTTCTTTCATTGTATCGTATAATATACTTACAACTGTTATTGAATTTGATCATTTGTCTTCTTTCTTTATATTCGAATTGAATTGAACAATGAAGAATTTGTCAAAATATTTTTGGCTACTTTGTTTTGGATACAAAAACGATGATAGGTTTCATACGGTAGTGTGAACAGTCATGGGCATTGTATTGCTTAGTTGAAATAAAATTTAAAGATATTATTAGTAAGATAATAGTAATATTGTTTATTAAAATAGTAAATATTGATTAATTTATTATTGTTTTATTATTATGCAATAATTAAAAAATTTGTAGGTTAACTTGGTAGTTACTGAAATGTGCACTGCAGCACTCTTACACAGTTTTCATATTATAAATACAATTCTTCATTGTACAGTATCAATAGAAATAAATTATTGTTAAATAAAAATGTTAAAAAAATTGGGGAGTGATAAATTATTAAGAGGAACTAATAATAACAACCCTAATCTTAAGTGTCCAGTCATTAAAAGAAATTGAAAACAGTAGAATTTTGGAAATTTCGTGTTCTAAGTTTCGTGTGCACGTGAAGAACAGATATCACATTGAGTTACGAGCACAACACCTCAGTTGATAATGACAAAGGTGTGTGTGTATGTGTGTGTGTGTGTGTGTGTGTGTGCTGTTAGCCCCTGAAGCTTTGGAAATATAATTACAGTGTGGCTTACCGTAGCCCCTCGGATCAGACCGTTATTACACGCACGGTGGAACTTAACACCTGCGGTGTTGTAAATTCGCCGTTTTCGCGTTCCACTATTGACAGGTCAATAAATCTAAGGTAGCCCCTGTTTGCAATCAGGCTTCGAACTTGGTACGTGTTTCGTGAGTTACGAATACTGCGATGCGTGAAGTGGATCATAAAATCCACCTAACTTTTATCAATTAAACAACTTAAGGAAGAAAAAGTTCTAAATCTTTTCAATTTCCTACTTCCTCATATTTTAATAATTATTTAATAGGAAAAGAGCTGTAATTATATTATATATAAGTCTAAATACATAATCATGAAGATATAATTAAAAAATAAATTTCTTAGTTTAGGTTAGAATTTGTGTTAATTCAAAGTATTGATATCTTGAAATTAAACAATGTCAAAACATTTTTACGATACATTGATAATAGCAAGAACTATTTCTGTTTATTTTTTAATTAAATATCTTTTTTATTGACTCAATATCAGATTATTAAAACATTCGGTAACATTAACCTAAAAATTAAGTATAATAATTTGATCAATTTGATTTATATGATGAGCAGTCACGTGATGCCAACACGAATTTCTTATTATGACTTTAAATATTATCTAAAAAAATTATTTACAATAAATAAGTTAAAGAGTGTAATCATGTGCAATGCATTTCTCTTATTGCGATAAGAAGAGGTCACCGATGACCCCCATGGTGCTACGAACAAATTTAGTATCAATCACCAACGATACCCTATGCCATTGTACGTGTAAAAAATAATATGTAAGATTGAATTTACTAATGAGTCTAATGAAATCTTGAAAATCTATTTTTAGACGAAATCTTGAATGGAAAGTTAAAGGTCTAGAAATCTAAAAGGAAAGAATGAAACTTAGAGGGTTACGTTTGTGTGAGTTAGTACGAGAGAAACAGGATGAGAAGAGGAAATAAGGGAAAGGGAAGAGAGAAAGAGAGAGAGTGTGTGTGTGTATGTGTGTGTGTGTGAGAGATAGTTTGACCGCATGGGGGCCGCGCGTTGAATTCATTCCGTCGGACAAGCTTGCCCCATACCAAACTCTACCAGCCACGTCGGCCTCATCCCTTGGGATAAATTGGCCGAACCCGCGTGTTTGCGGATAACATCGCCGCGATATACGTTCGTCTACTACGACCTACGATGGCCCTTTTTCTACCCGCGAATTTCTACCTTTTCGTGAAAATTATTTAACCAATTTTCAGTCTTTTATATTCATTCGAAATAAACTATAATCTACAAGTTACAAATTATTACAAAATACTTTTTTTTTTTATGAAAGTAAAGCTCTTAAAAAAGTTCAGATGTTAATTATAACTTTCTGTAATAAACAATGATTGTTAATAATTTACGATATTAATTTGCTGAGATAGTATAGAGTTCAATGTTAAAAACAGTTCGGCAAATTTACGCTAAAAATTGTAAAATAAATTGAAGTTATGGATTCGATTTAGCATGAAATACAAGACTAAAGGGGTATAGGATAGAACCCATATAATACCACCCTTTATTCGACATTAATTTCTAGTGATATTCGATCCTTGAAATTGTCGACATCATAAAATAAAGATAATCCTACCTTTAATCCAGTAAGACGTGGTTCCACAGCAGCCAATTTCGCCATTTCGTGATAATCTCCTTGAGCAGCTTTCACCAACCATTCTCGTGATTTTCCATCTAATTGCTATGGAAATAGAAAGGAAAGTTTCAAACGATGCACATCGATAGGATCGCCTTCGATTCAAACAATTTATACTTTCAAAACTCGAATCTTTGGAAAATAATAGAAAGGACGATTCTCGTGAAAGTGAAACTTTCGTTGTCTAGTATAAATCGAAGGTGTAATTCATATATAATCAATTATGTTACGATAATAAACTTACCCAAGCAACTGATGCAGTGTCTTCATCGTCTGCACCCTATGGAAAAACAAAAACCATAAAAAATTAATCGGTTCGTCGAAAACAAAAACAAAAACAAAAACAAAAACAAAATAAAAATCAATTTTTATTCGGACACTTCGATGTTTTGTTTGTTCCAGACGTAAATAAAAATTGATCGAATAAAAATTCTCTTTCTTTTTTCATCGCATTGCTTTTGACGACATAAAAAATAAAAAATAAAAAGACAGATATTGAATTAAAAATTTGTTCGTTGATTGATTTCCAAAACAAAACAAAACAAAACAAAAAACAATCATTTTCAATTCAGATGCTGTATTGTATCATTCGATCAAAAAAAAAAAGTTCTAAACATTATCTTTCTCGTATTGGCTTAAAGTTACAGAAAATGATCGATAAAAGAAACAAGAAAGAAAACGATGATAAAAACATTGAAATGCCGCATAATAGCAGTAACGTGATCCAGCCATTTAATTGATATACGAAACCAATAATTGATTCTCCAACGCAAAACCCTCAATACTTGTTGCGAATGCTTACATAATCACCGTAGATGACGATGCACCGGTCAGACAGCCTTTTCTTTTCTAGAATCCTATAATCCAGCAATTTACGTGCGTAAAAGCGGTGAGAAGGCACGTAGGATGAACGTGACTCAACCATCAAATTGATATACGAATCAAATAATTGATTCTATCACACAATGCTCCCGAATGCTTGTTGCGAATGTTTACGTAACTATAGTCAATGACAATGCACTCGAACAATCATTTTGCTTTCTACGATTATACAAATTTGTTGATTTATTTGCAAAAATTTATTTAAAGTCAAGTCATCATTATAATTTGTAATAATCTTTAATGGTTCAGTGAATAGAACAAATATGCTGATAATAATTAGACTTATTGTTAATTATGCATAAATGTAGATTTGATTGAATCATTTGTAATTTAATAATAATAGTAACTTTATTATTATATTCAGTATTCAATTATATTATATTTCTTGTTACAGTGGTACAATTGTTATTGTCTTAAATTTGATTAAATTGAAACAATGACATAGTATTTATAATAATTTTATAATAGTTATTCTATAGATTGCTAATATTTTGCAAAATTAAATTCTAAAAATTATAGAATCAATGCTAAGTTCCATTAAATTTTTGATATCTTAAAGGTTAATAAGTTTCTATATATCTAAATTCAATTATACTAATTTTCCTTCAAAATTGTACAAAACAAAGATACAAAATAATGTATTTACTGGATATATTATTTAAATAACATATTAAAATTTTAATAAAACATAATCTTTTATCAACAAACTTAATAGACTTAATTATTGAATCACTGCAAGTCTAATTTGTCAATTGCAACATTGTTAAACCATGATTTTACAAATAGTTTTCTTTTCAACTTTCTTTATGTTAAGTAAAATTTAATTGAGATAAATTATGTAGAAAGCTACTAGTTAAATGTTGAATGCTAATATTTTGTAATGTTAAAATGACCAAATAATGAGCTCAAACTATATTCATTTCCTATAAGAAACTTAAACTAATGTTAATTAGAGAAGATAGACTTTATCAGTATGCTACTTTTACAGTCAAATATATTAAATTATCAACTACACACGAAACATCTACCCTAATCATTGAATCAAAAAAAAAGTCCAATATGTCTGATGCCACATTGTTAAACTTTCATATCAGACACAACTATTACTTTTCCAACTTTCTCATAATTATTTTAGATATAATTAGGTTAATATATAATAATATTAGATATAATTAATCATTGAATTATAGCAACTCCAATCTGTTGGATGTAACATTGTTAAAGCTTGATCTCACATAATGTCGTCGTTCGTTTGAGAAGAGCATCACCACCAGTTATAGCTTATCTGTGACGTGGGTAAAGAAAGAAAGAAAGAAAGAAAGAAAGAAAGAAAGAAAGAAAGAAAGAAAGAAAGAAATAAGATGAAGAAAGAACGAGAGACAGAAGAAGAAGGAGGAGTTACGAAGAGGTGGAGAACAGAAGAAGGAGTTGAAGGAAGGTAAGATTGGGAAGAAGGAGGAAGATAGGAAGGATTTCTGATCCCAGAAACGTTAAACGACTACTCATCCCTGTTAAACCGTTTGTATTTTCACTCGTCACGGCTACGTCGTACTTTGGAGGTGCTCATATCGACACTCGGGACTCAAAATCAATCGTGACTCCTCGTAAATTACATCCCCCAAGGTAGAAACACGATAGATGGTTAGAATTTGGCCAAGTCATCATTAACTGAAGAGCCCCCGATATCTCTATCGATCGACACCACTACGCGTGTCCTTAAGTGAAATCTCCAATCGGTTTGGAGAAGCCTCCACCCGTTGATTGGACCATAATCAAACGTGGGTCATTGATTTTTATGAATTCCTTTTCCAATAGGGGATGAGGGAGGTAAATACTTAGAGATGAGTTTGTCAGATTAGTCAGATAAAAACAAGAACGATTATATTTTCTATGGCGAATATTATTTATTAATGTAAGTTAATATTGTTTATGAGAACCACTGACCCCCCATAGCGTCAGGTGGTGCACCGAGGTGCGTTCCCAGCTTTCGTGTGCTATGTGCCCCCTTGCTTCTCTCCACCTACTACACCTCATCCTCTTTACTACTTCTCCTTTCCTTATACCATGTTGATACGTAGGGATATGTATGTATACACTTATGTGAATGTATATATATATATGTATATATTTAATATCAAATTATAATGATATTTATGATATGCATGTTTGCAGAATGTAACGATACTGTTTTCATTGTTGGAATTCGTCATCTTTTTTGTTTGGGTTATAAGATAAGATGGATTAAGTTTACTATGATGTATAAATAGTTGTGTCATATTAATTCTCAGTTTTAATATGAGTCATCAATGTTGAAAGTATAAACTTTATATAATTTCTTCTATTTTTCTTAATTTTTATATTATATTTGTATCTATTATTTAATATTTGTATTAAGTAACTTAAGTTAAGTAAGTAAGTTAATATATTAAGTATAGTTAAGTATATAATAATATAGTATATTAATATAAGTTACACTTATTATTTTTTTATACTAGTTATAATAAGATATAACTTATATTTATTATTTTCAATAACATAAGCTATACTTAAAATTATAATATTTGTATAAGTTATATTTAATATCTACAACTATAGCAATATAAATTTTAAATGAAATAATTATATTTTTCAAATACAAAATAGTAAAGTTATTTCTAAACCTTATTATGTTATACCTACGTTAGGTATACCTAAACTTATTATAATTAGTAAAACTAACCATACCCAAATGTAACTTTCAAACTAAACACACTGACACTATAAAATTATCCTAAACCACGTTTTTCAAGAAATTTCATAAGACCCTAACAAATTTGTATACACTAAGCTTCACATAAATTAAATTACTTAACTGTATGCAACTAAATTGATACTAAAATAATAATTAACTATACTCAAAAGTAGTATTCAAAATGAACACATGAACGAACAAACAAACAACTGTAAAAAGTCTAAAACTGACTATAATAAAGAAGTCAATGATACTTAAAAATCAAATGTACATAACTTTAGCATATCCCAAATAAAATAAATCAATTGGATGAAATAAAATAAAAGATAAGATTAAGAAAAGATAGTAACTGAGAGTCCCTGATTGATTTTTAAACGATTTCAAGATGCGAGCAGAAAGATCTTCGATGGGATCGCCGAGAGGACACTTGTTTGCTCGTATCTCCACTGAGAGATATGCAAATGGTTCTGGTATCCTCCTCTCATTTTCTTTCTCTCCTTTTCTCTCTCTCTCTTTCTATACCCTGGCACGAGGGTTTCGCGAACGAGCAGACAAACGGACCAGTCAGCGACGCTCAAGCCATGAAGCCGTGGAACATAATGGCGTGGTTATCAGATAAGCTTATAGGACGGAGTTAATCGTAATGGCATCGCAGTGGTGGTTCCTTCCTTCGGTTTCCATTCGCGAGAAGTCGAGAAAGTAAAAGACGGTAAATGATGAGAAAGAAGAAAATGAAGTAGAATAACTAAAGGAACAGGAATAAGAAGAAGAAGAAGAAGAAGAAAAGTGGAGGAGTTAGTGCAACAATTGGTAGAAAAATAAGTAGAAATGGTGGTATAGGAGAGAGGTTGAACCAGTTTGTAGAGAAATAAATGAGTAAGTTGATAATAGAATAAATGGAAGGTTTGGTAATGGGAAATATTGAACAGTTGAAAATGTTGGTACAAGAAACGGTGAACTAATTGGTTGAGAAATAAATGGGAAAAATTGATAAATGTATCAAAGTATAAAAAGTAAAAGAATTTATAGAGAAATAATTAGAAGAGTTGGTTGATAATGGAAAAGGTAGGATAGTTGGAAAAATTGATAAAGAAATAAGTAAAAGAGTTAGTAAATTTATTAATTGTTAGTGAAGAAAGAAGTTAAACCAGTTGGTGAAGAAATAAATGAAAGAGTTGGTAATGGTAAAGGTGGAACAACTGGAAGAATTGGTAAAGTTCTTAAATGTTAATGAAAGAACAAATTAAATCACTTGATAGAGAAATAAATAAGTTGGTAAAAAAGGATTGAAAAGATTGAGCATTTTAAAGAGTTGATAAAAGGAAAGGTTAACCATTTAATAAAGAACAAAGTGGAGGAATGGATAAATGAACAAAGGTATAAGAAATATAAGAATTTATAAAACAAGAAATAGAAAGGGTCAACGAAATACAAGAATTGTTAGAATAAGAAGTTCAGGTAATGAAAAAAAGTATAGGAATTTGTACAATAAGAAGTGGAGTATGAAGGAGGCGTATGAATTTGTAGAGCAAGAAGTGTAGGAGTTAGAGGAATTGGTAGAACAAAAAGTGAAGCTGATGAGGTGAAGTGGTTTGAGGAAAAAAGAGGAGGATGAGGTGAGGAGATGGAGGAAGAGGTAGAGGAGGAGGAGGAGGAGGAGGAGGAAA